TCTCTGTACTTTTATCTTGCTGTGTTGACAAACCGATTAATATTATTTTATGAACAACCTGAACAGCAACTTCCAAGATTTGAATTTTGGGGTTAGGTTTCTTAACGGGTACCTGGGTACCTGTTTTTTTTAATCGGGTACCCCGTTCCCGTACTAGCCGTAAATGCACACCCCTAGCAGTCAAGCCATCACTGCAGTAGAGGGCGCTTTCAGCAAGATAATTCAAATTCAGTTTTGGGAACTTTGGCACTTGGGCCAGGGAAACTCTGGGCAAACCTACAGTGCACTTTAGCTTGAATATAGCATGTGTGAGGCATGCTTCCACTTTATCGGGTACAAGCACCAACGTTCCCAAGATTGGAACCGATTCGTTCAAGTCTCTGGAATAATCTCGTTAACCCCCTCTACTGTCACGTCAGCTCAAGGGTGTTTGTCATAGCTAAGATCAAGTTGCGGTGAGGACTATTAGTTGAGTAGTGGTTGAATCCTGACATGACTTACGCCTTGGCACTAAAACACCGTAGCAACATGCGAAAGCCTCGAGTCAAACAATGGTCAAAAAGTCATCACAAAACTTCATGGTCCTGACTCCATAGTGTGCTTTATGATGCATGTGGCTATCGGTAACCAGTAATGGAACTTGCCCCGTGGTCCGGTTCCAAATAGCCATTTAGAGTAGTTCAACCATCCTTCATTTGAGCAAAGTCAGTCAAACTACAGTTCACGCCCCAAACTTGCTCTAGCATCGCATAAAGGACCAAATTAAAATGCAGTCTTGAACCTAGACAAACCACATGTACTCGTACTACACTTTCCAAGACCCCAGCATCTTATTCCCTTGTGAGTAGATGAACTATCTATTTGATCCATTCATATGTAGCCGACCCCACTGTTCATTTGCACCAGTGCTAATCCCATTTTTTTGACCCTGCAGAGTGCAGAGACAGGAAATGATCTCAGCTACTGACACTGACATTCCCTCGACAATACACATGTAAGCAATTTGTTTTCATTTACCGCCCATTCAACTTTATTAATACTTCCTTCCTCAATTACATTGTTGTAGTTTTGTCTTTTCACTCATTCGTATACATACACCCATTTGTCTCAACTGACCTTTTTTCTGTTTCTGTTCAGATTTATGTGTGACCATTGACAGTAACTTGGGTTTTTCTAAGTTTTCTCATTTCGGGATAGGTTTGTTTTCACCCCCCCCCCCCCCGCCCATTTTTCCTCAAGTTCGATAATTTCGTTTAACAATTCACAAAGGTGTTAAAGCAGGATAAAGGTGGAATGGCTGGACTTGGGAAATTTGGAAAAGCAAAGCTTCCCTCTTTTTTACCATTTACCATTAAATTTTACATTTTGAGGTCTTGTGCCACGTCACTGGAACTCATTGGTTTTGTCTATTTGATAATCCAACCAGTACATCAACCACTCTACAACTTGTTTTCAAACTTTGATTTTTCCAGGTCACCACGGATTCCTTAGTATTGGGGCAAAACGTTGCTGTAGAAATGCAATAACCCACTGCTGCAAGAGGGAGTTATCGCAACAAACAGCCATCACCCACGAACCGTCAGCAACATCATCTTGGTAATCTTGTAAAATCTCCCCCCGCAATATGGGGGAAATCCGGCTCGGGTAATTATCAGCACCCAGACTCTAAGTGGTCTTAAACAGAGTGATAAACTAGTGCGCATGCGCTACTTCGGCAGGCATCTTGTTTGCTACTGGAACAAATTTAAGAGTTTAGTTCGGAACTAATACAAAAGGTTTTGAATGCGCGCTGCATATATTAGGCAAAACAGGTGCACGCACATGGCACAACTACTACAAGATTCCAAAGACGTTGTTGCTGGCGGTTCGTGGGTGATAGCCGTTCATTGCGATAACGCCCTCTCATGGCGACGGGTTATCGTGGCGGCAGGTTATCGCTTATGTACAGCAACAACGTCTGGGCCAAAGACTATGGATTCCTGCATTTATGAACTTACGTTGCTATTATAATGTCAACACTAGGGGAGCAGTTTCTTGGAGCTGCTAAGCGCAAAAAAATTATTGCTTAACATAAACAGGTCATCAGCATTAATGACATCCTGAGTAGCTGGTACCCAGCTGATTTGTGCTAAGCAGTGAAATTAGCTTAGCGGATTAGCAGCTCCAGGGACCTGGACCCAGACCTCCGATGATTTATGACTGGAGCAGTCTTGGGATAGCTCTCTGGATCTGGACTGGGCATTATCAATCCACATCCCTGGTTTAGAGGTTTAGAGGTTTAGCGTCTCCTGTCTGGGTCTTGAGTTGACTCTCTGGATGCTACCATGGGTGGCAGAGCAATCAAGTTGGATTTCAGGCATCATTTGGTTGGAGGGATGAAATTTCTGGCAAGACTGAGATTTCTGTAGAGTTCGTGCTCTTATTTAACAGACTGTTTCTTCATTTTCAGTATATCTGTCTTAAGAAAAATGCCTTCAAAGTATATGAAACCACTGAAAGCACTCTGGTTTGTATTCCCTGTGTAAGAATTATCATTTAGCAAATATGATTTTTCCTAAAAGAATTCTTATTTTCTTAAGTTGTTTTTTCTACAGCAAACGCAGAGTAACATGTTTTTGTAACATGGGTTTCTAGGCTCAATCTTGCTTCCATATACATACATGTACATGTATATTATGAAATTGACATGTTAATTGTTTCTCACACTTTGAAAATTTAGAATGAAAACGTAAAAATTCAATGTAAACACATGTGTCACTATTGTAACCATTTTGGAACATCATCAGATATTGATACCTTAATTTGTATACAGTTTCACAAAATTGCCTCTTATTAAGATATAACTGGGTGCATACCTATGTTCCCCATTACCTATGTTCCCTAACCCTCACCCTAACCCTAACCCTAACCCTAACCCTAAGGATTTGGGGAACATAGGTATTGGGGAACATCAGGGACCCCGGCATTACTTGGGTTCAAACCCAGCTTTTTCATGGCAGTGGATAACCAGCCATGCCTTTTTGACAGCAGTATATAAATGCTGGAATGTGTGATATGCTAACTTGCTTGGAATGTTGGATACATCTGTATTTATGACTGTACCATCCATCATTCTACCTGTCCCATTCACTGACCAGGGGCCCGTTTCAGTCAGACACTACCCAGGAATTGGAGAATGTGATATTTTTATGCGTAAAGGTCAAGATGCTTAATTCGAAATTGGCAAGTCAGGACATTTCATTTATAACAGGCATGCAACTAGAAAGTCACAAAAAAGAGGAAATTCAAATCTTTCCAAGACTTTGTACAGTGTTTTTCTATTTTCAATGACACACATTGGGGGTCAAAAAAGAGGAAATCGGCTGATCAGAGGAAAAGTTGCATGCCTGTTATAAGGTTGTTCGTTGGCATATCAACTTAAAACTTGAAATGTGTTTGTGGACATACGCCAGCTGTTTCGAATGCCCCTTGAATGTGACGGTGTCGCATGAAGTGTGATGATGTCACAATGAAGTCACTTGAATTTTCATCTATAACACATCCTGGTATTGGTACATATCAAGTTACAACCATATGGCACCTATAGTTCTTGAGACATAGTCCTTAGAAAAGTGCCCCTTTACTGTGACGTCATATGACTTGTGATGACGTAATCATGAGGTCACTTCAATTTTCATCTATAACAAGTCCATGTCTTATGTACCTACAAATGTTGGACCCAATCTGACTTGTACTTCAGAAGCTATAAGGCTTTAAAAAAATGCACCTTTAATGGCAAGTCTGGCGAAGCTTCTCCGAAAGCAGTCTAGGCCAGAGTGCATAACATTCTATTCAACTGATTGAGAGTGCCTATTCAATAGCGGTCTTTTTATGCATCTGGTCTTCACATTCAGCCGATTCATTGGCGTTACAGGGTAAACCTATACAATAGCACTGCCCCGCTTTCTTCTCAAGCCTACAACCAGTCTAAGTCACAGTCTACATCACACTCAGTCACAGGTACAACGAGAACATTAGGCTGCACTCTGGGACCAGCAAAAAAAACCTGTTCACCCTGAAATTACGAAATATGACACTAAGGAATTCATCCAATATTACAACTGATTGATGTTTAACATAAACGTCAACTATCAAATGATGATCAACAATGTCAACATGAATGCCGAGCTGTCAATTACCTGAGATTTATTCCAGACAGCAACTTCAATGACTCACCCCTGGATGTCAAAAATGTTACCCCCAGCTCACATGATCGTAAATTAGGCTGCTAATTTTCTCCCCTGGGAGTACAAAACATACTGCCAAGGAAACCTGGGTTTACACATTTCCCTAACAAGTCATGTTATGGAATCTACGGAGAATTTCCTAGCGTGGGGTGCTTATTCTTCATGCATATCTCTGATCGAAAAATCACTGTAGACACCCATGTAGAGTGCAGGATCCGTGTAGATTCTTATGAGTGGGGAAAGGGTTCTGGAGGTATTTGTGTTGGACCCAGGTCCTACACAAGGATTTTTTGGACAGTGTGAAAGACTGTCATGTCCGACAAGTATACGATCCTCAAGAGTATAACCAGTTCTGCCCAAAGTGAACCCAAGGTGTTTGTAATTATTCAGCAAATGGCCGGGAAAACCCATAGAAATCTTTCGACTTATTTTCAGTGGGTCCCTTAGTAGAAGGTGTGGAAGGAAATTACAGTTTTAGTGGTGGGAGGAAAACCCCAGAATGATATTCTAAGGAAAAACACAAGGAATCAGGCAGGGACTGAAAATCAACCCACATATTGGCCCACGCGGGATTTGAACCCGGGTCACACAATGGAAGGCAAGGAAAGTACCGCTACGCCAACCTGACACCCCTGCGTAGGCGAGACTAAAGTGTGAAAAGGCCTAAAGGGAGATGGAACCGAAGAAACCACTTTTTTTCAAAACTTTGTTTTCTAAGAGGAGAAGGGTCTATGTATACTAGTATTGAAGACAAGAAAGAGTGTGTTCTCTTACTTTGTGATGAGCACAGCGGTGTCGTAGTGATGAGGATGACTTTCCTCCTTCTGGTTTTGGTCCTGCTGCCAGGCACAGAAATTACGCAGCGTCTGGGGAGCGTCTGAGGTGATGGACAAATTCTCCTGCAAGAATCAGAATGGAATTGTGGTCAAGTCTATCACAAGTCAAACGTGTGTCAATTCACAAGTCAAGTTGTAAGTCGGGCCACAAGTAACAGGATGAATGACAAGGGAATGCCTTGAATAACTTGTCATTCAACTTGTGATTGACGTATGATTGACTAGGAAGTTGTGGGGACTTCTGAAGACTACAAGGGGTTTTACAAGTTCTTGGCTATGTCTTCGTCTTCAGCTTCACGCTCAAGCTTCATGATTTTTGGTCCCCTGACTTGGAGGACAGGCTCCAGTGCACTTTTTCTCCACTACCTGCGACAGAGACACCAAATCCTGCCACACAAGACCAATGCTTCATGGGTTTGAATACAGCAGGAAGCTTGGCCGAGAGATGAAAATAAAGCTGGAGACAAAACTAGTGTTTCGTAAACGCCTGTCTTAGTGGTCAACAGAACTCAGTTTGTGCATTTAGGGTTTTTAAAACCCTTTGTTTTTAAATCTGAGTATGGGCTACTGTTCTAAGGCAAGATGCATATCTATGGTTAATGCGTAATTGAATAAGAAATGTTTTCATTTTGGGGATAAGATGATAACACAGACGAAGTATCTTCTTACCTCCTCTCTACGTAGAACCAGCAGCTTAACTAGCACTATGTTGATGTCGTTTCCTATACTGGGATCTTTGAATATTTTATTTACCTGCAAGAGAAGATGATACATTTTATTTTTCCATTAACCAATGGGTTTGATATTGATGGCATTTATTTAATCTTCGGTGATTTCAAACAAACTGTGGCTCCATACCTGAAGTTATGACCAACACAAAAACACAAGTATGACCATCAATGAAAAACACCCTTAGGCCAAAAAAAAAAAAAGGCTCCGGTTTCTGGTTTGCGCGTGCGTCGCCGTAGCCTTGCGCGTCGGCAAAATTAAGAAGTTTTTTTTTCAATGTAAGATGATGTCTAGAAACCGCCAAACTCACTGGTTTGACTGGATATCTGCTGCGCAATTTTAACGTGTTTTTAGATGGGCTTACGATTGAGTATAAGCTTTATGTAGCCTCTCTGGGATCCAATACATTTTGCATTAAATTTAGTTGGGCACCATTTGCAGTCATCAGCCGACATTTGAAGGGAAAAAAAGGAAAAGGAAAAAAAAAGCCACATCGCCGGCTCACCGCACCACTTTTGGGCCAAGCTCCATACCAGAAACCAGAGACTTTTTTTTGGCCTGAAAACCAAAACTCTGATAATATATTTCCATCAGAATATCATCAACAGCTCTTTGGATCTTATTTTTTATAGGGGACTGAAGAGGACAAGACGAGGACAAGACGAGGACGAGGATGAGGACGAGACCTGATTTTTAAAAATAATTAAAGAAGATTTTTGAGAGCCTCTATGATGGCAAATTCGGAAATTTCAAAAAGTGGAAGAATGAGGCGTTACATTTAAGCAATGAAGGGCCCCTCTGTAGAACTGTACTGTGTACATGTTTATGAAAAATGGATAGCTCTTCACCTCAAACTTATAAATCTACGCCTGAAATCACATCCATGACAAGGAAAAATAACCTTTCATTATCACCAATACAGTTACTGCAGAGATACCTAATCTAATGCTGAGACAGGTGCCAATCAATCAATCACCAGACCCACTAAAGTATCAAGTTCCCTGTCAAGTGCCAATGGGGCAAAACCTCAAGTACCAGAGGGGCAAAAAAAACAATTGTAACACACTGTCAATCAAGCAAGCTGCCAGTCAGGAGACAGACACTGTCCATTCTCACCCTTGATACAATGAAGCCACTAAGCCAGAAAAGTACCAACTGTCAATGTTTGTCTTTTCTTCCAGGAAAACTCTGGGGTGTTAAAACCTGAATGGTTGTGTCAAATCCACAGGGATCCTTTTGTGGGAATAAACAAACAACAGAGTTGCCATTGGTGAAATTCTTTGTGATTTTTCTTACCGAAAGCATTGATTTTGTGAATGCAAACATTTAGATTAACCATAACCACCTGACTTTGGTCCATGTAGGTCTAGCTTGAGGTCAAATAACAGCAAAGAAAATGTGTTGTTTTTCCACAGAGCAAATCTGTCTCAAGCTTGTGATCCTTTTACAAATTTGTGATCCTGAATGGAAGGCTCTCAATGACCTATGTGCCGGAAAGTCAGTGTCGCCATTGTAGTAGGCAAAGATCATATAGCACCATACGCAGTACATGTAGGTAGTAGGCAAACCTTCAAAGCTGTGAGGGATGGCAAAAACTGTGAGACAAACACAGAGCTAACACCCACTGGGTCAGCATGATTATGACAACCCTACACAGCACAGGTAGTGACCATTTGCTCTTTGCACGCTCTGCCATAAGCATGCAGAGCCTCGATCTGGCAACTTTACACAATGAATATAGCCGGTTCAGTGATTCCCAGGTTTACCCGGGTATCACTGAACCCCGACACGGGAATCACTGAACTGGCTATATCTATTGTGTAAAGTTGCCTCATCGAGGCTCTGCATGCTTATGGCGGAAGCGGGAAAAGAGCGAATTATGCCATTTGCTACTACATTGTAACTGCTTGCTTTCTGCAACAGTGGCTGGTCATGGGGAAACCAGTTGGTTTATATTATTATTCTGATCACCCCAATCAACAGAGACAATTGTCAAGATGTCAGATTTTAATAGTTATGGCCAAAACAAATCCAAAATCATATAAGAAACATGTCTTTTTTGTTGCAACGTAAATTTTAAATCCCTGTAGAAATTGCAAAGTATTATAGGCCTATACGACATGCTAACTATAATTTTGAAGACAGAGGGAGACCAACAAAGGTCACCGTGCGGTCATATTTTCGACTTCTGCAGGACTGGAAGCATCTGTCTGCATTTGTATTCAGTAATTAGCTGTAAAAAGCTTCTTTTAAAAAAAAAACATTTGCCTGATATACCGGTGAAGCATTCACTTTCCACATTTTCGGCTGCTGGTTAAAGTTTGTGCATCAAAGGATACCATCTGAGTGAAAACGTCATTTTTTAAGACGCACGCGTTGCAAAATTTAAATAAAAGGATAGTGCGTAGAAATAGGAGCGCGTAGCTTTAGAGGGTCTGACGATATATAGTTAAACCTGAAGATATGAAGTAAAGTAACGGAAAGTGTGAGATGTGAAAACCTCTTGGTTGGTTTCAGAAACGGAAACCAGGTAACCGAAGCCAACTTCTTTTCAACAGAACCTTTTTTCCTGAGCGATATCCTGGGGCATTCTAGTGTCAGTCACCCATCCCCAGACTTCCAAATCTTTGGGCAACTTATACAAGGAATTCATTGTTGGCTGGAGCTAAGAGTAGCCACATTCAGGAAGCTGCAGCCCCAAATCTGTGTTTGTACACATGGGCCGCAATGTTTGTTTTGCCATGGTCAGGGTCCCTGTTTATTTTACAGGTATTGGATGTTGGATAGCCTGAGGGGTTGATACTGGGAGTCTGGGTTTCAGACTCTTGCTCTTGAAACTCTTTTCTTTTGCCGGAGCAAAGGTAATTTTGAGGACACCTGGGGAGGGGATTCCAGCATAGAAGAATGTCATTTTTAAAAAATTCCAGTTTTCCATTTTTTCAACTACTGCAGGATAGGGAAGGAGATCGAACGGACTACCAAAACAAGTAAAACTTCAATTTATTTCTACCAACAGCGAGAGTATTTTAGGAAACCCCTTTGTTACCCCATACACCTTCCTCTTTACAGTAAAAGAATTTCAACTTTCTAAATTGCCTTTCTACCATACAACAGGCCCATAACCCAAAATTACGAAAGGTCCACATTTTTATAAGTATATTTTTGCAACTTAAACCTGTTACTTTCACCACCGTGCCCCCCCCCCATTTTTTTCTGACAGAAGACGCCACTGCATTTGTGTATTGTATCCCAAGTTCAAATGCCAAATGTCATATTATTTCAAACGTCTTAAGCCCTGACTCACCAAGGCAACTAGTGTGAGTAAATAATGCTCCATGTTGGTTGGCACCAAGGTGGTTCAGCATCGCACTATCAGCCACTAATCTATGCATATTCACATGTGATTACACTTATGCATATTCATGAAGGTCATATAATAAATGTTGAAAGTTCAAATGTCTTAAGCCCTGACTCACCAAGGCAACTATACATGTAGTGTGAGTAAATAATGCTCCAGGTTGGCACCATGGTGGTTCAGCATCTCATTATCAGCCACAAATCTATGCAAATTCACAAGTGACTACACTTATGCATATTCACGAAGGTCATATATTAAATGTTGAAAGTTCAAATGTATTGAGCCCTGACTCACCAAGGCAACTAGCGTGAGTAGATAATGCTCCAGGTTGGCGCCATGGTGGTTCAGCATCTTACTATCAGCCACCACCATCAACTCTACGTGGCGTGTGAGGGATACAAACCGCTTCTCTCTTCTGTGCGATGATTCTGTCTGCGTCGATGATGCGGTCTTGCTACTGTTACTATCTTGTTTAATGCTGAATGAAAAAAGAAAAATAGCAGTATGTTATTGTTGTCAACTTGTTATGTTTTTATCTACTTCTAGTCCAACTGCCAACAATATTTTTACTTCGATAATTTCTTGAATAAATGAAGAGTTGAGCTTTGTCTGATGAAAACAAATTATTTGTGTGATTGTTTGCAATTATTCTTTAATCTAACTCCCCAGAAAGAAACCTTCTGAATTCTCAACAATCCACCAGAGTCAGGTTGGCGCAGCAGTCCTTTCCTTGCTTTCCACCGATGTGGCCCGATTTGATTCCCGCCCTGATCCTCATGTGGATTGGGTTTTCAGTCCCTACCTGATTCCGTGGGTTTTCCCCAGAATATTTTACTGGGGATTTGCTCCCACCTCTATTTCTTCATTGTCTTCTCTCTTCAGATATGTGAGCTACAGTGTCGTTTGAGGAATCCATACGCCTAGTTTAATTACCAGAAATAATAATAATAATAATCACACTGCATGACCCAAATGACACATCTTTTGTACTTAAATCTTAAAGGTAGGGTAGATCATTTGTCATTTGTGGGTTTTTCTCCATAATTTGAAGCAACAAAAGTGCTCAAAATCTAAAGAAGGGTGCTTAACAACTAACCTGATGAAGCTTTAGCTCAGTTAATGCTGTATGTTCCGAGAAAACAATATTCTAGGATCTCAATTTCAATTCAAAAGTTGCCGAGTCATGTTTTGAATTGCGCCTGAAATCAGCATCTGGGACACGTTCTCATTCAGCCGATTGCAGCTCAACCGTTTCACGCACTGAACAGACGAATAATAGCAACCGGGCGCGCGTGTGCATCATGTCAATGTTGTCCGTATCAAATTCACGGATTCTTCGAATTACAAACCAACTACTAACAGAAATTTCCAAAAATGCGTCACTTGACGCATCTTTGGAAATGGCCTTCTTTTATTGTTTTCTTCAAAATAAGCATGCCAGAAAGAATAATTTCACAAGGAGTTTAGTGTCATTACTATCTTTAAACTTTACTTTCATCAATTATTTTTTGGATAGCTGCAAATACAGCATGCCAGAAAAAATAATTTCACAGGAAGTTTAGTGTCATTACTATCTTTAAACTTTACTTTCATCAATTATTTTTTGGACAGCTGCAAATGCTCTACTCTACCTTAAAGGGACATGAAGCCCCATGGGAATTAGTAGTGGCTGGGTACTACCTTTCTCATTCCCACAAATTCCTCCATAAACCTAAAGTATATGATTTTGAAGGCTGTAAGGATGATAGGGGTGGATGTTTTTTGGCAAAACTTTCTTTTCATGATCGTGTCTCTTACCTTTTGCTAATTCGTTGGTGCATCTGATAGAGTTGTGCAGCTAAAGTGTTTGCGGTGCTGGTGTCCTGTGAATGAAACTGTCTCCTGTTGCCATGGTGATGCTTCCGAGGATGAGAACCATGAGGCCCCGGCACATCATTTGTGGAATCTACGGTAAGAGCAGAGGGGAAATGTGTCTTGTTTAGGTACAATGAATAGGTTAAGCACACCCTTGAGTAGCTCTTCAATTTGAGTACTGTGACAAATAGGATTACATATAATTGCCTTGCAAGGTTCATGCTTGCAATTGATTTTCTATATCACTTTCACTTTTTCAGTGAGAATATTGTCCTCTATGCTCCAAACTGTGTGAAAAAGAGGGGAAAAAAGACTTGGCATGCCCAGGGAAGCTGGCTTGCACCCGTTCATGAATGTGTAACCGATTGCAAACAAAATGTGGACTAACTAAATTTGATAACGTGGGGCAGTATTTGAAAAAAAAAAATTTTTTCCCAACAATTTTTCCCCATCATTGGAAATTGATACAAACTTCCACTTTGCCATGATTATACAGGATGTTTGAGACTATTAGTATTATTCACTTACAGTCAAGCAAGGTACATGTATTTCATAATAATTTGGTAGTTTTCGTTTTTTGATGTTTGCAAATGTTGTATATTATCTTTAAGATGCCAGTAAACCACTATAAAATGGCCTATCATGCACCATTGAATGAAGGCAAGGTGTGCTGTCTTCAGTACAGGCAATGGCATTGGGTATTTATATGTTATTCAAGTCTTCAATAAAAAAAAGGCACACAGGCCTAAGCATGTATATTTCTATTCCAACTTCTTCATATAATCCTCATATCACACACATTTATAAAAACTTGTGTTACCCAATAAAATTCCCACGTAAGTAATTTTTGTTGTTTTTGACAACCAACCACTCAAGCTTTTGTCTGATTTTTAAAATTTACCATAAAATCTCAGTCAGGCAATCAGCCTCTATGTTACCCAAAAGCCTCAAAAAGGCAAATCTAGAAAATAATCTCAATTTTGCACTCAATTGTAATTGATTTGAATCGTAACTTGTTTTGACATTTCTATTGGGCAATAAAACTCCTGAGCCTTTCAAAACATTTCTATTGGGCAATAAAAACTGCTGAACCCTACTAGCGTTTCAACAGTTGCAATTTCCACAATACAAACCCTGCAATAACTTCATACAATATCAAAATAATATTCCTTTGCCCCATGGATGGGTTTAAAGCACCTAAACGATCCATAAAATTGCAATAATGGGAGCATAACTTAAGCTGGCACCTTCAACAATACCCTATTTCATTCTGTGACCCATATTTTGCTCAACCTCAATCATTTACCCCAGATTTTCTGGGTTATTGGAGAGAACCTTTAAGACTTATTGTGAGTAATCGTGCAATGGTGTGTAGTTGATGCTTTCGCTGATACTTTTGGTGTTGGATTTAACTGTGACATGCACAGTAAGCTGTGGAGACTTTCAAGGTATTGCTACGCTTCCACGCTAAAAAAACTCTTCACACCCACTTCATGCCTATTGGACAATTTAATTAATGAACCAAATCAATTTAGTTTGCTATAACTTGTTTGCATCAGCTATCTACTGTAGTCCATTGCTAGTGAGTATAGTTCACATTAATCAAAACCCTCCTATACTTATAACTATCACAAACTGTCCAAAACTCTAACCCCCACTGCTCTTGACAGTTTTTGTACGGGCTGCTCTCCAACTGCCACAAATCCCTATGGATTCAACTGAACAGCTGTCAGAGCCTATGGGTGCATACCTGCAAATAAACTCCCATAGACACTAGTGCTAAATGCCCGTACTTCAAAATTCTTTTAAAAATACTCAAAACTCTCACAGGTATTCAAGCTGCACAGAAAAATGATGATCAATGTGTCATCTTTCATTTTCTTTTCAATTTATGGTGGGTTGACCATTGACTTTTCGAGATATTTTCACGCAAAGAAGACGACCCCTATTTTCCCCAAAGCGGAAAAGTAGCCATCTTGAAAAACGATCCCTCCACAACATGGCAAAATAGCGCCACTTTCGAGCCCAATAGCATCCAAAATGCTCAGAATTGGAAGCCCCAAGTCCGGGCTAGAGGTTCACTACCATATCTCTTCAATTCCCCAATTTTACGGCGCTCAGAACTCTCTAATATAGAATATTTTGAGGGTATAACTTTTATTCATGAGCTTGGCGGATCGATTTACAGGTGTGTACCCTATAATAGCAGGCAACTTTTAAATTTTAACACAAAATCACATTCAGGACAAGCAGAATATCTCCAAAGTCAATATTTTGAAAAAAAAAATGAAAGAAAAATATTATCCGAGGTAGATATTAAGCCCGAAAATAGTGATTGTTTTGCCCCTGCTAAGCTGTAGAGCGCCCCCAGCGACAATAAATTGAGTTCCAGCTACTTTTAAGCTCAAAATGCCCCCCCCCCCTTTTCAAGTATCAATTGTTGTAATCGGGTGATAGCCTACTGCTCCCTTATGATTTGGAAGCATCCGTTACGGCAAAAAACCCTTGTTGATACCTTTAAAACACTTTTTCCCCCTCCCCGTAGGTTCCGCCCACTGAAAAGACCACTGCCGCGGCACAGCGCATGCGCGAAACGGCCATCTTTGTGATTCTTTATAGGGTGCATACCTGCAAATAAACTCCCATAGACACTAGTGCTAAATGCCCGTACTTCAAAATTCTTTTAAAAATACTCAAAACTCTCACAGGTATTCAAGCTGCACAGAAAAATGATGATCAATGTGTCATCTTTCATTTTCTTTTCAATTTATGGTGGGTTGACCATTGACTTTTCGAGATATTTTCACGCAAAGAAGACGACCCCTATTTTCCCCAAAGCGGAAAAGTAGCCATCTTGAAAAACGATCCCTCCACAACATGGCAAAATAGCGCCACTTTCGAGCCCAATAGCATCCAAAATGCTCAGAATTGGAAGCCCCAAGTCCGGGCTAGAGGTTCACTACCATATCTCTTCAATTCCCCAATTTTACGGCGCTCAGAACTCTCTAATATAGAATATTTTGAGGGTATAACTTTTATTCATGAGCTTGGCGGATCGATTTACAGGTGTGTACCCCTATGACCACTAATAAAGGTACAGCTTGTATAGCAGCCATTTTGAAATGGCTAATTGTACCAATATGAGGGCAGTTTGCAGATTTGGTCAAATCTGTCACCTGATAGTTTTTGACATGTAGGGTAACGCTCTACAGATTGTCACTGAGCACAGAAGGAATTAAACAGTGAGAAAAAAAAATGCATGAAAGTAAGTCTGTCTTGGTGAGATGGAAGCCTCATGCTCAACTTCTTAACAATAATACTAGAGTCTTATATACCGCACGTATCTACCAACAATTAGGTACTCAAGAGTAAGACACTGGAAATTATGTCATGTAGATGACAGAAATCATAAATAAGGTATAACCAAAAACCTTACCCCAAGCTCCTCCACCCCCCCCAAAAAAAAAAGTGACGCAAGTTATTACCTTGTCAATATCTACAAGGTTAAAAAACAATCCTGACAAACATAAGTAAAATTTGATCCAGGAATATAAGAGTGCTTAACCTTCCAATTTATGAGCTATTCTTTGCTCTTGACGAAAGATCAATAAATCATTTCGGAAACTAAAGTAGGCTAAACATGCACTGTATGCAACTGTTCTCAATCCCCACAGTCAAAACCATCCACACATACTGAAATTTGTATCCTTGTGGAGACATTTCTTTGTTCTCGTGTACTAAAGTTTTCGAGTTTGAAAGTACTGTTTCAAAATGCTCTTATTTTAACCAGAATTAATTTCCTTGGCTGAAATTCGGACCTAATATCCCTTTTCTAAAACTCTCCCATTTGCGACAGATCAACATACCTTGGAAATTCCTAGCTTTTTTGTAAAATCCATATATCTATTTCGTGATAACCTTGTGGAGATGTATTCATCTATAGAAATTGCCCTGGGGAGACGTATACAATCTTTTGTTCCCTATTGTGTGCATGTCTCTAGAGGGCACGGTGTATCAGATCAACTAAACACACGAATATCAATCATTGGATACAAATGAGGACTTCAATCCATTTTCAATCTTTCACCTTCGTATATGATCAAGTAACAGCTGCGGATAATGACAAAAAATGTCAAAAACCTGCCAGGAAAAGTCATCATCTTAAAATTACATGTAATATCACCTTAATTCAGTATACAGAAGTCAGCAAAAGTTGTTGATCGTCTGACCTTGACCCAAACTCTGACTGAATTTTGGATTTATCTCCTCTGAGCCATATAAATGACAGGAGCACAAGTGCATGTAATCTGTTTTATTAGTGTGACAAGTTAATAACATCAAGATGTCAACATGTCAAGGATGACATCACGGAGGAAAAACGCACTTCAGTTCCGATTCTTTGATTCTTTCCAAAAGTTGCAAAACTTTTATTAATCAAACTTGATTAAAAGTGTCTTTAAGAGGGGATCCTATTTTCCTGAAATCTTTAATTTGAAGGTTAAAGATGCCAATACAATGAGGGATGGTTTTGCAAAGAACCACAATTTGACAGTAGGCTTTGCAGTACAAGGGTAAGGATTTACTGTTGAATTTGAAGAGCAGATTGAAACTGTCGCTTAAATCTATTAATCTTCAAAAGTTTATCCTTATCACATTTCTTCAATTATACACTGAAAACCACCAAGGTTTGAGCCAGTAAACAGGTTGACCACAAATTGGATTTTTTTTTATTCAATATGCTCAATTAAAGAAAGACCATCAATCATAGACACATTTCATCAATCAATCACAAGTCAATGGATATGCCAACTTCTGGATTACTTTGTGGAATTCATTTCCAGGAAGAATTAGACCGAGGAAAAACAAACCCACAACAACTTTCAAGTGACTTCCAATAATGTAACGATAAATGGTGGACGAAGAGGTTTCAGAATTGCAACAAAGCAGCCGACACTTTTTCTCTGTAAAATCAGGGAAAATGGAGGGAAAAAAGTATCGAACTCCTCCATCTCTCAGTGAAAAACAACTCTTTCTCTTGAAATGTATTGTAATCAGTATTGTAGTTTAGTCCATCTCAGAGTAATT